TTCATTTTATTCTAAGATGAGAGCTGAGGCCCTGTGTGGGCAACTAAATGGTCCTCAAGTGGAAAAAATGCTGTGCTTCTTCCCTCCTCTCTTACTCCTTCCCTCCTTTCTTTTGCAAATAGGTATTTTTCTAGGCAGCTGGGACAGTGTGTTGTCACGAATCCTACATGCTTTAGGGGAGGCAAACATTGAACAATATATGTTATAGGCAAGCTATAACATAGGATAGAATGTGTTAAATATCATGGGAAAAGAAAAACAGTAAAATTACTGAGGGTGGGAGAGAGGAGATATGCAGGCTTCAATAGAGTGTCCAGGGTCTCAGATTTGTTGAAGAGGTGACATTTGAGCAAAGGCTCTAAACAGAGTCTGCTATGTGGGCAAGTGAGCGAAGAGGATTCTAGGTAGAAAGAACAGCTGGTACAAAGGGCCTGAGGTGGGAGTGTGTCTGATGTTCTTAGGGAATGGTAAACAGCCCACAGAAACTGGAATAAAGCAAATGAATATGGAGAGGATTAGATGAGATCAGAAAAGTGGCAGATTTATAATGACCTTGTAAATGATCATAAAGGGATTGACTTTTAATTCTCATTAAGGTGGTAAATCACTGTAAGGTAGTTGAATAGAGGAATCCTATGATGTTTGTTTTCATTGAAAGATAATTCTGTCTACTGCTTGAGCATAGATTGTAAGACAGCAAAGGGAGCAGCAGGGAATGAGATAAGGCTCTTTACTTGGAGAGACAGTGCCATACTGGGGTATATTCTTCACAGAGAACTAGTAGAATTTATTGTTGCATTGAATTGTGGCATGATAAAAAGAGGTTTTATGGATAACTCCAGCATTTTTGAATTGAATAAAAGAAAAAAAAATTAGGATGTAATCAATTGAGATTAAGTCTTTATTGGAAGAGTTTTAAGACAAAAAATCAGTAGTTTAGGTTGGGCTTGTTGAATGTGGAATGCCTGTTAAACAGTCAAGTAAGATTAAACAGGGACTGCTTGTGGAAATCTGGAATGTGTGAGAAGGCTCCAGGCTAAAAGATGTAAATTCTGAAGTATCCCTTGTATGAAAAGTATTTAAATTTGTGAGACTAGATGAAATGTCAAGGTAGTATATAAATAGAGAAAGGGATTAGCAAGGACTCAACCCCAGCATACTTCAATATTATTAGGTCGGAGAAAGGAGAAAGTGGGAAAGAAGATGACACAGAGTGATATAAGGAAAACTGGGAGACTGTGGTGTCCTAAAACCCCAGGGAAGAAAATATAATGAAGGAGGAAGAGGAAAACGAGGAGGAGGAGGGAAGGTTAAATGTGCTGATGAACCAAGAGAAGTACTGGTGGAGCAGTGGTGGAAAGAGTTGAGAGCAAGTGGATTTAGGTAATGCCAGTGGCTTCAGAAAAGTTAGAGTCCATGGGGGATAAGACAGAAGAAACAGCAGCTGCTTTTTAAAGCCACTAATAATGGATTGGATGTGATACCATTCATAAGATTATAGCAATAACAATAGCTATTATTATAATTATAATAATGCCAATAATTATAATATTACATTAGCTAAATTTGTTAGAGATCCATGTATGTGCCAAGGACTTTTACAAAAATTGTCTCTTTGATCTTGAGAGCCACTGAGCAGTTGTAGTCCTTGTATTTTTAGATGTCAAAACTGTGATTAAGAGAAGCTCAGTAATTTTACCAAGATTACATACCTATTTTAGAGTAGAACTGGGATTTGAACCAAATTAGATATGATACAAGAACCAATGCTCACCCTCCTACATCCTTGTGTTTTCCTTGGGAACTTTTCCATGGCCACTAAAAGACCACAGACTGCTCTTTGGGAAGATAAAGGATCTGGAGGTTTGCAAGGCCTAGGATTTTCAGGGTTGAAATAATTGAAATGGTTGCTAAGTTACTGATGATTCTCTTTGTATTTATGTGACCCAGAAAGCAAGGGTTATATTAAATTATAGAGGGTGAGTGAAATATTTATTTCACTGGGAAGAAGAGCTTTCTTCTTGAACATGTTAATTTCCCTGCACTTTGATGCTCGGGGTCTTACAAACATATCCCTTAAAATGTTTGTTTGAATGGAATATGATGAGTCGACTGCCATTTCATTTCATCCCTAGAGCATCTTAAACTACTCATTACCTGTTTGTAAATGAACATTCAAGAAAATGACATGAAATCTAAGTTTATGAATACATCAACCTATTTTCTATTCATTTGCCTCAGAAACTACTTACAGATTCACCTCCATTACAATTATGCCTTTTTAAGTCAGGCTTTAAAGTATTTATTTTCATCAAAGATTTATGTGCACATGACTTAGAGAGTCAAATAATGCTCCCAGACTTGGTATGAGAAGCAGTAATGCTTACCCTACCCCATTTCTCTCTAAAGGGATATTTTCATTCCTTGTAGTGGACTGTTGATATTTAACTCCATACCTCTAAAAATCATTCTCTGGCTAAATATTACCTATTGACCTCCAGTATTGGGAAGATTTAACTCTCTCAATTTTTATACCCTCTCATCATCAGCCTTCTCCTGTCTTACTACTATATCACAGCATCAGTTAGAGCAATACTCTGTGTTTACCTTATAGAAATGGTATTTAACTTACAACTGGATAATTTAGTATACTAATATAAATATTGTACAGTTTGTTTTTTGTTTTGTTTTCTTTTTATTGAGTTTATTGGTACAATCTAGGTATACAATACAGTTACATTCATTACTGGGATCCTGTGCCTTCACATGACAGGTCTGGTTCTCATTTTTTCCCCTTGTTCCTGCCCTCTCTTCACCCCCTTTTGTTTTGTTTTCCACAGTGAAATTTTCCTGTTTGTTTTCTTGCTTAATTTCATATGCATATTTCTCTAAATTAAGCCTGAGTTTCTCACCAGCTGTCCGAATCATCTCTCAACATATTATTCAGATGCATTAGGTGATTTCATTTTTGTGAAGAAATCTGACCGGGAGGAATCTTACTTGCTCCAGTATGGACTGGTTGCCTTCTGTACTTGGTACCAGACTCTATTCTGGGATTACCTTTCCCATCCCTTGGGGAATTTCAGCACTGTTCACTCTGTTTTCTGAACCACAAATCATTTCATTTTTGGCCTACTCCTTTGCTTTGATGGAACACATTCACCTGTAAATGACCGAGAAAGGTTGCATGGAAGATAAACTACAGCTTTAGCTGTTTCTTTTTTTCTTTTTATACCCTTGTCTTTGACTTGTTTCCCAGAGGAATCTCTCTAGTAAAGTTTGTTTTAACTCCTTCTAGCCAGGATTAGCTAGAAGACCTAAGGGAGCCCCTATTTTATTTGCTTGTCGACAGAACCCTGTCCCTACAGTTTCACAAAGGAACAGTGTTATTAGAATCTATTGGGTGGAGGCTAGAGAAGCTGGTAAACATCCCAGAGTGTAAAGTACATCTCTGCACACACACACACACACACACACACACACACACACACACACACACACACAAACTTATCCAGCCCCAAATATCACTTGTGCCAAAGTTGTGGAACTTTGTTGTAAAGCATCTCATGTGGAAGGTAGTACCTAGAAAATCTCAATGAATGGTCAACCCTTCCCTCCCACCAAGGACTCTATTCTTTATTTGTATCTGTTTATGGCTGTCATGTCATTACTTCAATAAGATAACAAAGATAAAAATACTTTGATTTCTTCAAGGTCAAATATTGGATAAATTTTACATAGGTAGAAATAATAGAATGGCCAGGATTTCTTCCTGAGTCATGGGACTAAGGTCATATTCTATTTGCTAGCAGTAAAATCTATACTCTCCGAAGAGTCATGAGATATACTCTGCGAGGCGTGTGCTGCACCCTTCTCCTTTTCCTCTGAGTGAGAAGAGGTATCTCTCATCTTCTTGAAGCCTTTCTTTTTCCTGTAAATTCAGTGTTTTTACACAACCTGGTTTCTGCAGGCTGCAGTGTCAAAGTCAATAGAACTTATTTGCACCTTGGGAAAATGGGCACATCACAAGTGTCATGGCACAGTGAGAATTTCTTTTGTTGATTATGGCTGAAGAATTGGGCCCCAGTAGCTGACTTTTCCCTGTCATAGTGGTCACATTGCTAGATTAAGTTTACCTTAACTAATAATAATAATAATGTTTTTAAAACCCACTTAGAGCAGATGATAAATAATCAAAAATTTATGTGACAGTGTTCTCTCTGGTTAGGAAACAATTTGCAAAATGGAATTGATACTTACCCAAGGCATTTTGATTTGATAGAATAAGTGTGAAGTGATGGATAATTCGATTACTCAGTAAGGCTTTACATACCTTCATAATTTAGGTAGCCTAGTACATTTGAGCCCTGAGGACCCAAACTGCTGCATCACTTCTCTGTATCAGTTTGCAGCAGTAATATACTTATGCTTTGAAATTCCAGAAGCTGAACTAGATTTTATGTAACAACATAAGCCACTGATTTGGATCTATTTCTGATATCTTATTTTATGACTTTATAGTTTTTCTTCATGTGCTTCAGGCAGCAACTTTCTCCTGGAGGTTTTCCCTTGATCTACAGGCAGCTCATCTGAAGTTATCCCTGGATACACATCTTCAACATCAGTGAACAAGGGTTTCCAGTTATATTGGTTTGTCTCTTTAGTTCCAGCATAGACGCAATTCTCTTTCTCTCTAATATTAATATTTTATCACAATTCAAACAGTTATTCATGGTCCAGTTAAAATAGAAGAAATCTTGACTTGGATGTTAGCTTTTCCATTTACTGATTGCGTGAGGATATTCACTCCTCTTAATGTCTAAATTTCCTCATCAGCACAAAAGGCAAGTGTTTACCATAGGTTGAGCAACTATGAAAATGGGAAAGAAGAATCTTATAGGTTTGTTCATTTGTTTTGTTTTCTTTGAGATAGGATCTTGCTATGTAGTTCAAGCTAGGTTTGCACTCACCGTGTAGCTCAGGCTGGCCTCCAACTTGCAGTGATCCTTGTGCCCCAGCCTCCTGAGTGCTGGAATTACAGATGAATGCTACCATACCCAGCTCTCATGGGCTTTTAGGTGGGCTATTTCACCTAGAAAATGATGTGGAAGAGATATTGTGAATATTACCAAATAACTGGAATTATGCTCTAAGAAAAATTAAGACTTAAACATTATTTAGGTTGACTGTAGAAAGAGGGAGAGAGGTAAGAGAAATCAATTTTCAAGCATCTATATGCCCAATGTATATGAGGTTCATATAATTTCACCTTGTTCAATCCTTACAATAATCTTACAAGGTAGATAAGGTGTTAGTTTACTTGTTAGTTAATTCGCGTCTTGCCAGTGGCTCATGATGTGGCCTGGACTCCAAAGATGAGTTGGAATTATTAGATCCTTATCCTATAGAATGAGAGAGATGGAGTTAAAGAGATGAGAGGAGAAAGAAGAAAGGGAAGGGAAAGGGAGAGAAGAGAAGGAGGAGGAAGAAAAGGGAAGGAAGGGAAGGGGAAGGGAGAAGAAAGAAGAGGAAGAGGAATCAACTTAGAAAACACTTGAAGAGGAACTAATAGCATTCTAGAGTTATGAGGAAGTGGACACTCTGACACACAGGATAGAGGTAGGTGAAACAGAGCAAAGGCCAGACAGAAATTGGTAGGAGAGGAGAGAAGAGAGAGAGAATGGCAGGGGGGAGGCTACAGCTCCTTAGAGAGACAGGGAAAGGGTCAGTCTAGTCTCAGTGCCTGCTAAAAGCCTCTTAATGCTGTGGTGCTAGGTCATATATTCCCCACCACACATATGCTCATTCAAAGAGGAAATCATTTGGGTGCCCTTCTAGAGGTCCTAATCATCATTATAATATTACAAACGAAGACACAGTAACAACCTTTGCCAGGGGTTGACTCAGAGCTAAGCACTGTGCTTATAGACAAAGAAACCAACAGGGCCAAGTGGCTGGAAGGGTAAACTTGGGGTTTTTTCCAAGGGCTTCATCTGCTTTTCTTAACAGCCTACTTATAAATTCCAGACTTTATCTGGCCGGTGAGGAATAACAATGGGATTCCTAATCCTGTGGAACTATGTATAGGATAGTATCGAATTATTACTAAACAATTTACCCTCCTTTCCCACAGTGTTTATTGTCTACTCTTCCTATTGCCCTTAATTCCAAGTGTATTCAGCAAACTTAAAAAAAAACAAAACAAAACAACTATGAGTGGTTGCAGTGACCATCCTAGAAATTTTCCCTAACTTTTACCATATGTCTGTTCTTCATCTTTTTTTTTTTTTTTTAAGTTCTTGATCTGTATACTCTGATCTCTTGGTTTCTTGACTATGAATTGGACCTCATGTTTGATCTCCAGAATGAATTTTGTAGCTCCAAGAAAAAAAATTGTGTTGAAGCCTTGTCTTTATTCTCCAGAATCTCCAGCAGCATTCCTGCTGTTCTTCATGCTCAAGATCCCTTGGCCATAGCACCTTCACAGACGCTCACAAGAGAGGGGGATGGGCAGACATCCTCCTAATAACTATTTTTGACAACTGTACTGGTGGGTCAAGGGTCCTGTAGGTGAGTTCGTGTCTGAAAAGAATTGGGAGGAAGCCATGCTAGCTGATGAATATGCAATAACAAGAGAGACATTTGGCAGGTGAGAGGATTATCCTGGTACCCCGAATAACTTTGGTGTATGGCAGGATCCCCATATCAAGGAGGAATTGTTTGATTGTTTGGTTTATTTACTCATTCTTTTATCTGTCACACATTTTTTAAATACCTGCCATGTTCCTGGAACCCAGCCTAACAAATCTCTTCTGCCTAACAAAGTTTTCAGCTATTCTATTTCCAAAGATAAGCATTGTACACAGAGACAGATGTAAGGCCAAGGGTGTGAACAGGAAGGCTTTACTTTTAAACTGTGCTAATAGCTGAGCAATTCTCAGGACAGGGAGATTTACTTTCTTTCCCAACAACCAGCTGCACAATGCAATCTGAGCTCTTATGGAGTTCATATGGAAGGACTTCTTGCTGAAAAGATGAGGCAATCAGAGAGCAGGGAGTCTTATCCTTGGCCTTGGCCCTAGCCAGCATCTGAACCATTCTCCGTTTTCAGAAAATGCAAACACATATAAAGTATATTGTTTACCATCTAACTTCTAGATCTATCCTGTGTATAAAATGATGATATATACACTATATAATATAT